GTAACTCCCAAAGTCATGAGAAACCAAGTGAAAAATCTGTAGAAAAGCTTTTTGAAGAAATCCAAGCAAAACTAAAATCTGAGTGGACTAGCAACAGACATAATTATTAGTTACAAGGTGATCTTAATTTTGTTATGTAGTTACAAATATAATTTGGACTCCATCTTATTTTAAACAATTTGATAAATTTGTAAAGTTATTTTGTCATGATATGAAGGAAGGAAATAAAAGGGAAATAGCAAATAGGAGAAAAATATGAAATTTAAGTATAAGGATATATTTGGTGAGGAATGTTACAATGAAAGACTTTTTAAAGTAGGAATTATGTGTGGCAAAATAAGGTTTTATCCTAGGGTTAAATGATTAGGCTTTTCCGAAATAGAAAAAAAAAAAAAAAGATGAAGGCCAAATAAGGATGCTTAAGAACATTGCAGAAAGTCCAAATAAGTAATAAAAGATTTGTGGAAAATGAAGCTAAAGATTATATACATACACATATACACAGAAATGTATATACATACATACATACATATATATATAATAAAATCTTACTTAAATTCCTAAAGTCAAAATTCAGTACACTGATATAAAAGTAGCAAGGTTTGCCACCCTCCACACTGTTTCCGGGGCCTTAAGATACCTGTGAACCTGACCTCCAATAGGAAGCTGCAAAGAGCCAGTCTGCCTGCTCACCCACCCATCTTCCCACCCGCCACACTACCAGTCTGCCTGCTTACCCACCAGTCTTCCCACCTGCCACACTACCAAGGGACCTGAGATCCCCCCTCAATGCTGTTTGCTCACCCAGCCACTGTCCTACTGCCTGGGGACTGTGTAAGGACCTGTGAGCCAGATGCTAGGAAGGGACTCCTAGAGCCAGTACATCCACTCACCAGCCCTTACATTCACCAGGACACCAGGAGAGAACATGGCATCCTGTGTTTCCAAGCCTAGCTAGGAGCTCCCAGCCTGATTTTCATGCTACCAACATTTATCTGAGGATTATGGTGTCCTATGCCCCACCTCCAATGATCACTACCAACTCCCATTGTGACACCAGCCTCTGTCACCCAGGGACTATTTTGCAGAAACCAGGGAGCCCTCCACAGACTTCTAATGACAGAAAGCTTGTGCCTGGACTCAGAATTTACACCTATCTTTAGCTGATCGGAGACCACCTCTGAAATCCAATTCACACATCAACACAGACTTTCCCGAAGAGTAAATATTAACCACCATTCAGCTGGACATCCAATTGACAAATAACAGCAACAAAGATACAAACGTCTACTCAGATGAGACTGGGTAGCCATACCAGTGCATACCACCTATGACCGAACTCTATTTGTTTAGGTCATATAGCAAAAAACACAAAGGACAAGAATAACCAAGACAATATGTTCCTCCAGGAACTCATAATTCATTGTAATGTTTCATGAGAAAAGCAACTTAGTTGTTTTACAAGACAGTGATTTCAAAATAGCAGTTATATTTAAAAAAAGAAAAAACTTAAAAATGATTTTGCATGATTTTCAGGATGTAGACCACAAGTATACAGTTGAATGAAATAAAGAAACAATTCAAGATATGAAGATAGATTTTAATAAAGATACAGAATCTTTAAAGAAGAGTCAAATAAATAAAATTCAAAATGAAAAAATCCAGGAAATTTTTTGCAAATCCATTTTATTGATGTTTCTTATACCTCTACCTCCCAACCCTTATCCCTTCCATCACCCCAACATCAGGTAGGAGAGGAAGGTTAGTGGGAAAAGGGTTATAGTTCTTGGCTACTTCCTGCTGGTAAGGGTTGTTGGGTTCCTTGGGGCAAGTCCAATCTTTGTTGCAGGTATCTCCAACTTCTCATCAAACTCTATCAACAGCAACAAGGAGCAGCAGGGGGCTGGGGGTAGCAGCCTCCTCCTTTCCTGGAGCTCCACTCACTCCCTCCCCGACTCCCCCAGTCCCCCACCTCACCTCTCTCCTGGCTCTGGTATTTATTCACTAAGATAATCAGTAATTAATATGTACTTCTTGGTAACTACTCTCACTATTAATGGTCTCAATTACCCAATTAAGACACACATCTAATAGCTTGGGTTAGAAAACGGAATCTATCCTTTTGGAGCCTCCAAGAAACACACCTCACCATCAATAATAGACACTATGTTAGAGTAAAAGATGAAACAAACCTCACCATCAGTAACAGACACTACCTTACAGTAAAAGGATAGAAAAGAAGCATTTCAAGGAAATGTAATTAAGACAGCAAGAAAATTCAGAGAATGATGAGGCTTTACTTTAAAAATCTATATTCTACAAAGTTGAAAAATATAAAAGAAACAAATTAATGAATAAAATAATAATATTATAAATAAGACCTCAACTAACCACTAGTCAGGAATCTCATCCTGACCTTCTTTAGCTGAGGGATGGGAAACAGTGAAAGACCTACAAGACAGTTAATCAAGATAATCAGCTTTAGTAACTTTGTGATGGCCTTTTGAGGACACAGTTACAGTACCACAGCAGCTTTGAGGGCTGGAGCAGGGTTCTCCAGAAGAGGATATATGCTTTGAATCAGCGTCCAATATATGGTCTGGTTTCTCCCATAGCCAGGATCCATGGATCCAGGAATCAGGGGTGGAAAAAGGAATAGCTCACTCACTATCATCCTAGTGACCAACTAGGAAAATTTTTGCTTTCTGTCCCCAAACCTTAAGTTCTGCTGGCCTAAGCCAGGTGCAATGATCCACAACTGTAATCCTAGCACTCTGGGAGGTAGAGGCAGGTGGATCTCTGTGAGTCCAAGGCCAGCCTGGTCTACAAAGTGAGTCCAGTACGGCCAAGGCTACACAGAGAAACTCTGTCTCAAAAACCAAAAAACAAAATAACACCAACAAAAAATTCTGCTAGCCTAGAAGTTTTGGTTCCAGATGAAGATAATTCCTGCCAGGAGTCACAACAAACATTCCACTAAACTGGAAGCTCAGACTTGCCCCTGGCCACTACTTTGGGTTTGTGTTGCCCGTGAACCAACAGGCTAAGAAAAGAATAACAGTGTTAGGAGTAGTGACTGATCCAGATTACTAAGGGGAAATTGGATTGCCTCTCCACAACGGAGGCAAAAAAGATTATTTCTGGAGTGCGGTAGATCCTCTCAGGAAATGTCTTTCGGTGCTACTTTGTGTCAGTGGGAAACTACAACTTTATCCACACAGAATGAAAAAGGGCATAGACACTTCAGGGATGAAGGTATGGGTCCAGGAAAGTAGCCAAGACCTAGTGAAAGGCTTGCTGTGGTTGTTCTAAAAGCTAAGGTCATGTGACCAAGTTGCAGAAAATGAGGATTATATTTGATATGAGTATTTGTTTTTTTAAGACTGTGTTCATACAGAATTGAGTTATCATGTAATATAACATGTTTTGAGAATAACAGAAGTTATATTTAAGTTTTGAGAAGATATGAAAAGAATGCCCCTCAAGGGACATTGCCATCTATTCTAAAATTTATAATGCATTTACAGTAGTATGAGCATTTTCCTGCTCTTGTCATAAACTCTTTGTTTTCCTTGAGTTTTACCCACCGATTTCTACCAGAAACCAATTAAATGGTCCATTGGACTTATCTTCTTACAGTCTCGTCTATACACTTGAGTTTAGAAATATTTAATTTAATATTAAATATTTAATATAGGTTTTGAAAAATGCATAGAATGCATCTTTGGTTGTCAGTTGGTCTGTATAAATCTCAAACATATTAGAAAGCAACAGACATTGTACAGTACTTTGTTGTAATGCAGAGATAAACTATTAAACAATAATTTCTATAGGCATAGGCAATTAGATGGTATTTTTGTATACAGAGAGATAACATCAGGCACCACAGACTTAATTCTTAAATTCTTATTAAAAATCTTACCACTATTTACATTTTTTTAAAAAAGGCTTTTTGTTTTAAGTCATTATTTGAACAAAAAATTAGATGCCATAGTTGTTTTGACTCATGCATGAGTCAACTTTTATTTTTAGAAGTTTGGTTGTATTTTATAGGGCCTGAGAATATGTTTAAAAGGTACAGTATTATACCACTGTTCTAGGATTTCATGATGAAAAGTAGTCAGGCTTTGACTGCTTTTCCCTTTCTAGTGAACCTGGACTCCAGCTTTACAAACCTTTCTCCTCCCTCTGGCCCTTTAGCAAGATTCAGTACTTGCTGGCCCTGGGAGAGAGAAGTCACAAAAGAAGTTGAATAGCTCGAAAGTGCCTCACATCTTGGACTTCCCCAAAACCCACCCATCCTACACCTCAATGCAAAAAAGGAAAGAAAAAGTAAGAACGGAAGAAAAGGAAACAAATTAGTTGCAGTCACCATCCTTCTGGCCCCAAACAAAGATTACCGAGCTTTGCTTTCATAGCGGTTATGACCAATAAAGGTCTGAAAGGGTTACCCTTTTGCTTATGCCTGTGTCCCACTCTCCAAGTAATTAACCAATCAATTCAGCCAAGGCTGAAAAGACCAAGGCAGAGACACGAAAGACCGCCGGGATCTAATCAGTAATGCTTCTTTTAGTTTACAGGAACCATGGGCCTTCTGGAGACCTGTGGACAACAGGAAGCTACTTTGAGAGACTATAGCAAGAATTTATGACCTCTCAGAAACGCCATATAGGCTCTTGCACCTGCCACCCTTGCCAAGATGTAATTGGGAGGAAAAAGTCCTCCATTTTTTTTTTTTTCATCTACCCCTCTTGCAGCCAGCGCAGCTCTTTCCCTGTCAGTGTTTCTCAAGTCAAAGGCAGAAGCTGAACGAGAGTGTACGTAGACTCAAAACTATCTCCTCCCCGATCATCCGGAGCTGTAGTTGAGCGCCGAGCTCCACGTCCTCGCCAGCTTTCCCTGCCACGCGGTCGGCAGCCCCGAGGCCGCTGGAAACTACAACTCCCAGGATCCCTCGCGGGGCGGACGGAAGGCGGCGGGCGTACAAAGCGGTGTGGGAAGCTAGCGGCCGCGAGGCCGCGCTCGGGGTCCGGTGGCTCAGCGTCCCCGCGGCCTGAGGCGTCAGCTGCGTGGGCGCTCACGCAGGGCGGGTCGCGCGGCGCGGGCCGAGAGGGAAGTCGTGACGGCGGCGTCGGGAACAGCAGCGGCGGCGGCGGCGGCGGCGGTGGGAGCGTGGTGCTGACAGGCCGTGGGAGAAATGGGAGACCCAGGGCCGGAGGTGAGTGGCGGCGGCCCGGGCCTTGGCGGCTCCGCCGAGCCCGACCCCGAAGGGTTTGTCTTCCCAGCCTCGGGCCTCAGCCTGCCCGCGGCCTCGGGCCACTGCTGGGCCTCCAGGCCGGGAGCACGTCTGCGTGGAGCCCTCAACAATGGCGGTCCGGCCGCCCCCAGCCCCCGGCCGCCCTAGCTGCAGCGGCCGCAGCCTTGAGGGCGAGAGAGGATTAGAGGCAGGCTGGCCTTGTGTTTGTAGCCCGGATCCCTGAGCCTGGAGGTTTAGAGCCCGCATCCCTGCACCTGGGGGAGGAGGCGGGGAGGGGAATCGTGGCAGCTCGCCTGGGAGGCTAGGTCTCTGCAGCATCAAGATGCCTTAGCAAAACCGGCCTCCTCCATGCATTTCTGTGAGCCGGATTTGCGCGTGATCGTGCGGTTTCTCTCAGGGGCTTTTGTCTTCACCCATTCCTTTTGGGAAAAATTTCCTACGAGCGTGTGACCGGGTAGATAAGCGTGTTTTGGCTTTTGTTTATAGATAATAGAATCTGTCCCACCAGCTGAGCCTGAGGCATCTGAGTCAACAACGGATGAAAACGAAGATGACATTCAGTTTGTTAGTGTAAGTAGCAAATGACAGTCGCGGTTTTCTGGAGTGAAAGAGTATGGTAAGCCATTGTGTGATTAAACCTCACCAGGTAGGCATTCATCAGTCAACAGATAGTTGTGAATGTCGAATAGCTGCCACAGACTGCAGCAGGGGACTTTTACATGAAGGGATACCTGGATGTTTACCTGAAGAGACCATCTGAGCAGTTGCAGCAAGCCTCACAAAGTGGGTGTCCTAATGAACCGCTATGCACTTAATGACACCTCCCAGATCTTGAATTGCATATGTACATACATGTAGACACACAGGGCACAGCATCTTAGTGTGCTGTCTCTTCTGATAGTTAAGGTCATCTTGTTACAGCACAGTACAGTGGTGGGTCACAATGAAGAGTCCTGCATCACCTGGAGCATTGCTATGTTTTTCTAAGTTTATTCCTTTGGGGCCAGTCATTTTCCAGTGTTGTGAGCAGGCAGATTCCTGGGCACCCCTCCAGATCTGTTGAATCAGGAATTCAGCCTGGAGCCTAGGTATTGTCACTTAGGAATACAATGCAGGATATTGTATTCTGGGATCTCCTAGCACTTCATAAAGTGATGGTTGGGGGGGGAGGCAAACAGCTCTGGGTGAGTTTCACCTATAGTGGCTAAATTTGTGCCTTGGTTCTTCTTGAAGTATTAGCTAGCCAGAGAACATCCCTGCTCTGTATAGCTCTCCTGAAATGCTGTAGCTAGTGGAGTTTGGCATTAAAGCTGTGCAGTTCCTTATTGTTCATCTGATTCGTCTGTGTGGAAGTTTTGGCTAAATGTAGAATAGTGGTTACCAAAGAACACCCTCCTGATCCCAGAGCCACAGTGGGCAGTCCATTGTGGTGTTTTAGTGGGCTGTGAGGGGAGCCCTTCATAAGGCTGTTTCCTTGGCAATTTTCCCATTGCACTGTATCCTTCTCATTTTAAACTTTGAGGATCTAAAAGTGAGGTTTGGGGATACATTGTGTCTTGTCCCTTTCTTCCTAATATATTGAAGGATTTTGGAGAAAGGATGTTGGTAATTAAAACTACTCCCCTCCAACATACATGATGTGTTAAAGGTTTTTATGACTCTTTAAAAATATTTTGGATTGTTCCTGAATCACAGTATATTTGTAAATAGAATACAAATGCAAATATAGGAGTCAATCTTCATTATAAAATATGGACCTTTGAGAAACTGATAGAATATGCAGAGTAAGGCTCAAAAAGGAAAATTTTATTTCTTACATCTTGTGAAATAAAATACCATTGTAGTTTGTTACTAATTAATTCAGGTGGTTGTTGATCTGAGTTTTAAAAGATGTATTTAAATTTTATTTTAAATATAAAGGTACTTCTATCTTTGCATCAAGACTAAAGAATGTATAATCTATAAAACTTGGTCTATGTGTATAAGTACTGTCATTTAAATGATAATTAGTGATAGCTTTTATTTTAAGATACATTTAGAATCCTAGCACTGGGGAGGCCATGAGAGAAGGATCCTGAATTGGAAAGCTGCTTACTTGGGAAGTTCTAGATCTGCTCTGTGCTATGTAGTGAAACCCTATTTAAAAAATAAATAAATAAATAAATTACTGCTACTGTGCTACAGCCAAAGTATCCACAGACAGAAACTTGAGCTCTTTGTAACACAATTCTGTTCCTCTGGTAGTTTTATCTAGAAAAGATGAAAACCAGTTTTTTGCCTGAGCTTTTCAGATACAAGCTACAATATAACTTCTTCATTTGCTTGGTTCTGATTATTAGCTTATAATTTATAACAAAATTATGTTATACGTGTATGTATAACAGTTGTACAAGAGTAAACTACCATTGGACTGGAGACTTTCAGTGTCTCACAAATGTAGGCTGAAGCCAAACACAACATGCTGAAAGAAAGGAGTAATACAGATACTGAAATGTAAAAATGAATCCTTTTGTTTAACTTCTGTTGAAATATGCAGGAAAATACAAAATTCATAGGTGCCCTTGATATTTGCCAAGGTAATAAGTTAAAATTTTTTAAAGATATATTATTTTGTGTCTGTACCGTCCTTTGTGTGTGTATGCATGTGTAGTACCACATGCTTGCCTGTGCCTGCAGAGACCAGAAGAGGACCTCTGACCTCCCAAAACTAGAGTTCTGGATGATTGTGAGCCACAATGGAACCACCAGATGGTTTTTGGGAACAAAGTCTAGGTTCTCTGCAAGAGCAAGAAGTGCTCTTAAGTGCTGAGCTGTGTCTCCAGTCCTTTCAGGGCAATACATTTAACCTTCCTCCACACATTGTTTCTAATGACTAGAGAGCTAAGCGCTGGCAGAGTATTTGGTATGGTCCTCTTAATAACCCATTACCAGCTTTCTATATGTAAATGCTTGTCCTTCCTCACCTGCCCTAAAGGTGATTTTCTGAGGTAATTCTGTTTTAAAGGAGGTATTGCCCTTCTCTCAGCCACAGGGTAATCAGTCTAAAGCGATGGATTGGGTGTTGTCCTGAAACTGATTGGTTTAGACTGGAATGTGGCTTTTTGTAGAATAAAGTGCCAGTAGTGACAGCAGGAAGTGAAAGGTGGGACTTCTGGTAGGGAGAAAGAGACTCTGGGAAGAAGAAAGAAGGTCTTTTTTACCAGAAGACAGTACTGTAAACTAGAGTCACCTAGAAGGAAGGAGCCTCATTTGGGGCATTGCCTAGATTGGACTGGCCTGTGGACAGGTCTAGGGGGCCATTCTCTTGATTGCTGATTAATGTAGAAGGCCCAGCCCACTCTTGAGTGTTTTGTCTCTAGGCAGCATAAAAAAAACTACCAGTGTGAGAGCCAGAGAGACCTCTTAGGCAAGGGTCCGGAAGCAGCATTCCTTCTCGGATCCTGCCTGACTTGAGGTTTCTGCCTGACTTCATTCAGAACTGGGCTGTGACCTGGAAGTATAAGATGAATTAAACCCTTTCCTCTCCAAGTTGATTTATTATAGCAACAGGAAAGCAGATTAGGACAGTGCCTAGATCAAGGAAGAATGACATAGCACTGATAAGAACTTTGTTTCTGCCTTTTAATTACATTTTCTGTTTAGTAATATGCACCTTAATTCAACTTATGTCTCATGTTTTCTTCTGAGATGGAACATCTTTTATTACAATTTTTTAACTTTCAAAAATTTTTGAGCTAAGTAATTGCTGACAGGATTGCTTACAGTGCCACTTTAGCTATAAAAGCATACAAACTTGTGGGAACCTATCATCTTCATAACAACGTAAGGCATTCAGAATTTCAAAACATTTCATAAATAACCTGAGCAACCAGGTTGAATATTAATACTTCTTGCTTCAGCAGAAAGGATGCATGCAGAAAGCATCATTAAAAAAATAATATACTTATTTATGTGTGTGTGTGTAAAATTGTTTGTCATGTGTATAGGTACAGAAAAAAGTGTGTTTGTACTCTGGGAGCTGGAGTTAACAGAAGGTATTAAGTCATCACTATGGGTGCTGGGAACTGAACTGTGGGTTCCCTGGAAGAGCAGTATAAGTTTTTAACCTTTGAGCTATCTCTCAAGTTGACCAAAAGCATCTTTTGATTAGGTTTTTTAGACTATCTATAAATCACTCATTAAGTAAAACAGTATTGAAGCTTTATAATGTGCAAAGCCATTTGTTCGTAAATGTTAGACCTATTTTAGCTATATTTGGTTGAAATATATCTTACTGTTACTAGTGTTTAGTGTTTTAGCAGCGTGATAGAAGAAAATGGCTCCAATAGATTTTTTTTAATAGAAAGCAAAGAGTACATAAATAAATTAATTAATTAGTTAATTAAAATGGTGCTGGGAAATGGCTTTGTGAGTGAAAGCATTTGACCAGAAGTCTATCTGTGGAACCCACAATTCCAGCATGTGAGAGGCAGAGGCATGTGGATCTCTGAGGTTTGGTCTACAGAATGAGTTGCAGGGCAGCCAGGGCTACACAGAGAAATCCTACCTCAAATAAAGAGAGAGAGAAGAAAAGAAAGAGAAATAAGCAAGCAAGTGTGTAATCCCAAGTTCACAGCCAACCAGAGTAGAGGAACCTGTGCGGTCGCAAAAACAAGAGAGACCCTGCCTCAGCACAGGTGGAAGGTGTCTCCTGACTTTAGCAGCATATGTATGTATATTCACACCTGCACATTCATAGCGTTCACATGCAACACACACAGAAATTATAAGACTGTAGTTTATTAGTTTGCTCTAATAGTAGGTTACTTGTATTGATTTTTCTTGTGGTAGGGATTGACTTTAGGACCTCCATGTGTTAGTCGAGTGCTATCCTCAGATGTGAATGTTTAAAATGGCATTCAGAATAGAAAAAGAAAGAAAGGTGTGAAATGGAAAAACAGCAGTATGGGTAATTTTGGAGATAGACTTGTTTTTAATTTTCTTTAGTTTTAAATGTGGGAGAAAGATGGGCCATGTGACACAGATCTTGAATGTGGTATATTTAACCAAAAAGTAGGCAGTTGGAAACCATTTGAAAGTTTTGAACTAAGCAAGACTGCAGAAGTCATCTACGGCCCTAACCTTTTTTTTTTTTTTTTTTTTTTTTTTTTTAAGTAAAACACTTGCGGGTGGTATTTTAATGTATATATCTTTTCCTAAATAGAAAGGTTGGTGATTTTCATTCTAAGTTTTAAATATTCTGTGTTTCTAAATGTGTTCTGCATGAGCCTCTGCTGCTAAATTGTAATGACATTGTAATGTAAATTTTGAGTTGCATTCTTTGTTATTGGTACAGGAGGAGATAAGACTGATTTACTAGTAGTAGTACAAGTTTAGATAAAATGCCCTGTAATTGAAGGGCGTGCATTTGTACTTAATACAGACATGTGTAGTCATTATAAATATATTTGTATCCTGAACATTACTTCTTGGGGAATTAGCAGCAGATTGGGTAACATTATGAAATACTCATAATACAGGCAATAGTGGTTTTTTTTTTTTTTTTTTTTTGTTATTTTTTTTGTCCTTTGACTGAAGGAATGTGTTAACTTGGAAAGTTAATAATAGGTAATAAGCAACAATTTTTTAAAATTTGGCTTATACTTTGAAGTACCTCTGAATTATAGTAACCACACAGCCTAGTATGTCTGTGTAATTCAGTTTTATTATCTAAAAAATAGGGTGATTTAAGTAATTAAGACTCTCCGTAAAGCAGGTGAAGAAGTTGGATGGTATAATTGGAAAGCTTAGCACAGGACCTGGTATGGGGCTCAATAAATTGTATCAATTAGGGATAGACTAAGTGGAGTACAAATTCAGTGTGGCAAACAGTTTTAAGATGAAAGGTAAGTTGGTCTTGGTGAAATCCAAGCACTGGGGAAATTGAGCTTTGTTATTGTATAAGCAATGAACAGGGAATTCCTGGTCAACCTAGGCATGGTAGGATGTGAGATCCTATCTTAAAACAAAAGCAAGCCAGGGTATGGTGGTATATACCCTGTGTATGTTCCCTATGTAATTGGCACTCAGGAAGCTGAGGCAGGAGAATTACTGCTAATTATTCCACAACTGCAGTAAAAACTAGTTAAAGTGTACTCTACTTGTACGTAAGTCATTTTCTTTGGCATGCTTATAATTACTCTTCTTTTCTGTGTATTAATTGCTTTTCTCATTGCTGTGGTCAGATATTTGACAAGAAACAAATTCGTTTGCTCATAGTCCACAGTAGAGAAGAAAAAACATTGTGGCAGGAATGGAGAAGCAGCTGCCATGTGTTCACAGGCAGGGAGCAGAGGGAGAAGTACCCCTTTACCAGCCCACGGGTGGTGCTGCTCACAGTGGGGTTGGGTCTTCTCAGCCCTGTCAAGTAACAATCAAACATCCAGTTCTTCTCTTGGATTTAGTCTATCTCTTGTAAGTCAGTAAACTTTTTTCCTCTATGTTTTGTTTTCTTTTGTCCTAGTTGTTTTTCATTATTTTGTCTTAATTACTATAAATCATACAAGATTCACCTTTATAATTCAACAGCAGTTGCATATTAGTGAAACAATTCAGTAGTAAACTTCTGGTAGTCTTGCTTTATCTGTTCTCATTTCTAGCCCTCCTATGTAGTGAGCTACATTTAAAAAATCATTTAATTCTTTATATTTGAGCCAGCGTTTCGTCTCGGCTGGTCCTGGAAACTTGCCTCTGCCTCCTGAATGCTGGGATAATAGGTGTACACACCACACTTAACAGTTCCCCTAGTACTGGGGTTGGCCCTAGGGCCCTGTGCATGTACCACCAGGCTGCACCGCTAGTCTTTGGCAAGCTGCTCTTCAGTCCTAGCCTTGAACTTTAGCAGCTGTCCTATGTTACAAGCCTGCACTGCTCATGCCCAGTTTGGTTTTAGTGGGTTTTGTTTGTTTATTTGCTTGTTTCCCTTGAGATTGTTCTGTAGTGTCCAGCTGGCCAGCAGTTCCCTAAATATTGTAGCTCTCCTAGCTTAAAACAACTATCCTGCCTCTCCAGTGCTGGGATTACAGGTGTATACCAAGACCAACTTCTGTTCTCATTACTCAGTTTATGGAAATTCTGCTTCTGCCTCCCTATTTCTGTTTACCTGGAAGATTTTGTTGATTCACTATTTCTGTGTATAATACTAAGTTCCTAAAAGCAAGGCCTTATGACATACAGCTATACCTGTGATCCCCATTCTTGGTAGGCTCAGGAGGACTGTAAATTTGAAGCCGGAATGGGCTGCATAAATATGTGCCAGGCCAGCCCAGCCCAGGCTACATAGACTCTATGTTAGAAACAAACCAACATAGTAAAATTTGATAATAAAAAATAACAAGTTCCTAAGTAACATGGTTTGCAGAGTCCAAACTTTGGTGATTATACCAGTAGTAAAAGCAGTTACCTCTTCATCTTTTCTGCTTCCTTGTTGACAGTGTGATTGGACAGTGTCAGTACCAAGGGTAGGCTTTAGTCTTACAGTAGATGATACATGTGGCTGTGCTGACTACATGATTTGTACTACGTGATTTCTTTTTCCTCTTGACCTTCCACCTTAATTGCTTGCGCAGAAATCTTGGTTCCTTTATTACATTTCATGGTTTGAGAGTTTTGCTCACTGGTTTTGTTTTGATGTCTGCCTCACTATTCAGGATGGTAATTTCTGATTGTGAAGACCTAGGAGAGAAACAGACAATCTGGAAGAAGAGAATCATGAACTAGATGACCTCCTGTCTCTAGCAAGCATCTTTCATTCTGAGAAAGCTCTGTATCAATGGTGTTTTCTCCTGTACTCCCAGCCCCCTTTTTGTTTCTAAAATTCTGAGGCAGGTTCCCACTTTGTAGCTCAGCCTGGCTTTGAACTTCTCTGCTATCCCCCAGTGCTGACAACACACACACCTACTAGTCATACCTTAGATTTTGGAGGGGTTTGTTTGCTTCGGTTTGGCTTTTACTTTGCTCTCTTTTTGCCTTTTTTGCTGTATGGTTTATATGTTTACTGCTTCTTTTAGTTTTTCTTTTTCAAGCATCAGTAAATTTACTATGTAGTCTTGTTGCACATTGTTTCTGCCAACATGCAGTACTGATGACTTTTCATTGGTCTGTGATCATTTTGGTTAGTTGAGAGTTTAGTAGTTTTCTGCACGCTGGGGATGGGCAACTCTCACATCTCACTCACAAATGTTCATATCCCTATGTTGCAGGCCTGCATGTCTGGTGGTTGGCCAGACACTTTTTTATACCACTAGTGCTTTGTGCAATGTTGGCATTAGTATATTTCTAGTCACTTGAGCGTCTTTGATTCCGTGATTATGTTTTTTGTTTGTTTTGGTTCTTTGGGATAAGGTCCCTCAACTGATTTTTTTTCCATTGTGCCCAGATTCTCACTCTTCTTATTATCACCAGTATTCATTGTACATTATTATGGCTGTGTTCTCTTTAGTTATAATTATCTTTCTTTCCCAGGTTTCATATTCTTCTGTGAAATTCCTATATTAATGTTATTTACTGTCATAATGTTATTTACTAATGTCCTTTTGCCTATAAAATGATACTGAGCTTTTAAGCCTGAACTAAGACTAGGAAGAGGATCGGAGAAGAATCTGGGTTTGATGTTTTACTCTCTTAAATTTTGGAATTGAAGCTAAAATATTGGTTAAAGATCTCCATGTTTTGAGCTATATGTACTGTGGTATTCACAAACTTAGATGTCTTAATAAACTGTTGAAACTCATCCTTGCTGAAATGCACTGGGTCATAGTATCTGTGTCCCTAGGGGTTCAGGCTCTTAACTTTTAGGTCTCTTCTTTTTTTCTTTTTCTTTTCAAGATTGTATCTCATTTTGTAAGTCAGGGTAGTCCAGTACTTGCTGTGCAATAGCCTAGCTGGTCTTGAACTTGTACTCTTCCTGTCTCACTCGGCACCTAAACTGCTTAGCACTAAAAGTATGTATCACCATGCCTGACTAGTCAACTTTTCAAAAAAAGGTATATACTCTGAATAGTACTTTTGTTTGTTGTTGTTTTCCTGCAACTTGTATGTCTTTCTTTTCAGATCCAATCCCAACAAAATAATATTGTTTAAAATACTGGTTTAGATGATGTTCATGATATAACTTTCCTCAATTTCTTTTATAGGAAGGACCATTAAGACCTGTTCTTGAATATATTGATCTGGTCAGCAGTGACGATGAAGAGCCTAGTACCTCTCATAGCGATGTAAGTACATTCATTACATTTGATTTCATCTTTTTCACTTGTATCAGTTTGTTTTGTTTGTTTTGTTCTGAAGCAGTAACACTGTTTAAGGTCATAGGTCTCTAAAGAATGCTCATTTCTCACAGGACAGGACAGCATAGGTAGTTCAAGGAGTATTTGCCTATAGCAGTTCTTAACTTACATTTTGCAGGGAAATATAAACTGTAGAATAATAACTGATAAAGGGAAATACAATAAAAACTACAAGCTTTTTGCTTACCCCGCTTTCTTTTCTGTAGCTCTCATCTGGTGCCTATAGAATTGAATTCTTTACTTTTTGAAGTATGTGGCCACAGAAAATTTATCTTGGGAAAAAGAGTGTGGGAAGATCCTTTAGGAAATGGAATGTGGAAACTTATAGCTGATAAATGAGTCCAGTCCTCTCTCCTTTTAGCCTTTTCTCTCCTCATTTTCAGACTTTCATACTGAGAGTTGAATTCCTTGAGCCCTTCATGGCAGTGTTGGCTTCCATTTATTTGTTGCTGACTTAGCCCAAATTTCTGCTAATAAACTTTTTCTTAATGGATTAGAGAATTCCTGGCTCTTGCTTTATGGTGGCTAGGAAACTTCTTGTTATAAGATGTGGGGACTTGAGACGTGGATATATGATCAAAATGCCTCAGCTTGAGACGTACCCTCACTTTGTCTTAGTCATAGGGGTATGTTGCTTTATTTTAATTTGCAATTCAAATGTGAAGTAGTCTTACTTAACAGGGTTGTTGTGAAGATGAAATAAAGTAACAAAAATGTAAGTTTCTTAAAACTGCAAACTGTAAAGCAGTACAACTGGAAGATTATTCAATGAGAGTTAATAACAGTTTTTAAATGGCCTAAATTGTGGGAGGTTTTGTTTTTGCTTTTTTGTTTTTTTGTTTTTTTTTTTTTTTCCATTTCAGTAGGACTTTGTTCAAGTTTTCTCTGCCATCATTATCTTCCAGTTGGTGCCCTTTACTATTGAGTAGGGTTTGTTTGTTTGTTTGTTTGTTTTTCCTTTGTTATTCCAGTAACCTCACCACAGCATTTCACTGCAGTTTGGGATCATGTAGCAGAGTAGGGTAGTACTGCTTTGAACTGAGGTTTATTTGTGTGGCGCATATGTGTGTACATGTTTGTGTGGATGCATGCGAGTGTATGCACAGGTGAGCATGTGAAGGCCAGAGGCTGACACCAGGCTGAAATCTTCACTTGGTCTCTACTTACTATTTTATTTTTGAGGAGCTCTTAATGAATCTGAAGCTCACTGATGACTAAGCTGTCTGGCCAGTGAATTTGGGATCTGCCTGTGTCTACCCCTCCAATGCTAGACTTACAGATTTGCAATAGTGTGCCTAGCTTTTATTTGGGTAGTGGGGATCTAAACGCCAGGTCCTTAGATTTGCGCGACAAGCACTTTACATTCTGAACCATCTCCCCAGCCCCCAAATGATCTTATTTTTAATCATGATTTTTTTTTTCTTTTCATAGAGTCCAACATTGATGCCTGTAGTTTTTCTGGGGTTGAGGCTAATGAATCGTGTACATTTGACTTCTGTTATCTTTTGCCGATCTATAGTGGATTGTTTCTGTCATTATGTATAATAATATAAAGTTTGAATTCTACTTACTGGACATGCATCTCTGCACTTGAAAGTTAACATATTAAAGCATATTTTTTTTCTTCCTTGGTTTTCTTGTTCATGTGGATAACCCAGAGAATGCCTGAATCTAAGGTGCCATCCTCTGAGAACCATCGCCCAGAAATGTGCTCTAGCTGCAGTGTTCCTCTTCCCATTGGAGACAGCAGTTCCTCCTCTGGGAGTTGTGCCAACAGTCCACAAAGAATAGTTTCTCAACCTTCTTCTGTTGAGAACCCATTGGAGACCCAGAAAAATGATCAAAGTAATTCAGATATTAATATATCTGAAACAGAGACACATAAATCACAAAATTATCAGACTCTGCCTTCATCATCACTTCTGGTCCCCCAAGAGTCTTTGGCTTTTTCTGAGGTCAAAGAGGATTTACCTATGGCGATGTCTTCAGTTTCACAGAATGGACAGGATGCCATCCTTTATCTCCAGACACAAGTGGCTGAGATGTCCCGAGTCATACGTGATCTGCAGTCCAGGAGTTGTTTTAGATTTCATCATTCTAGGCCAAGTGAAAACTCATCAGTTTCTTGGGATATCTCCACCTCTAAGGAGGACAGTTTATCTACAGTTGAAGAAGAGTCTGATTGCAAATCTCCATCAGCTGATGATAAAGGACAGCCACCCGACCCCATGCAGTCTAGTTTCACGGGTCTTTTGAAGAGAATGGAACAAAGAGGTGTTATAAAAAGGGTGACATTACAGTCTGAAGCTGAATCCTGTGAGGGGAAGCCTGATTGGATGACCTCTAAAAAACGTTTGGTTCCTCCATTGCATCCACTTTTGAGAATTGCCACCACTGAAGTTTTTAAAGACCCTGCTGATTGCCATCCCTCTTCCTTCATGGGGCACAGGGTATATCCTGTGGCCAAGGACTCATCTCCTTTCCAGCCAAATCCACCAGCTGAGGGACCCATTATAGATGTATTAGAACATAGCAAAAGAGGAAACACAACATCTCCTTTAGACTCTACCTCAAAAGAAATGGAGGTCATGGGTTGTAGGTTCTACCATGCTGCTTCCATTGCAGCTCGAGCTGCTAGCTACATGGCCTATATGACTCAGTATCAACGTAAACTCTGGGAAGACATGGAAGATCTGGTTCATGACCCAGAGTTTGATCGTGGAAAAGCAAGATGTATAATATCTGATGGCATGGATGCAGGACTTTGGCAGCTCTGTACCACTAGGGACATAATGGACTCTGTAGTCAGAGTTATGGCCATGGCAGTAGACTACAGAAGACAGGCCTGGCTCCGACTTACATCTCTCACTAAGAAAACCCAGGAGAAGATCTTACACTTGCCCTTTGATGGCACTTCTCTTTTTGGACAAGATGTGAATGCTATTGTTGCAGAAGACAATAGTATTAAAGAAAGTGAATATAAGGATCACAATAAATACTATACTCAGCATCGATACTTTTATAGTCATGATCAGAAAGCACATTATCACAACAGAGGGTACTCCAAAGGGGATTGGTACAAACCCCGGAATCACCCCTATAGATACAGAAAAAAGGGAGACTCTCCAGAACGACATGGGTATAAAAATTAATACTCTAGATGTTTAGTAGATTAGCCTTCCAAAATCCTAGTTTACCTGTTCTTCTCTAGGTTGGAGGTCATCTCAAAAATGAGTGCATGTCTGGAATAATCACAGCTGATGTTAGAGTTCTAGACTTTTAGAATGAAGTATATATAAAAAAGACTTAAGCTTTATTGGACAAATGGAGACTTTGCTCTAAAGAGTGTTGGACAGAGGTTTACTCATTATTTTTGGTCCAAAATAAGTCCAGAGAATGGTACTCAGGAATCTGAATCTTCTGGAATTAAAAGAAAATATGTAGATTCGTGCCTCAGGAAAATCTTGTTGGTAAACTGAGTACTAGCAGATTTTTGGATCTGGAAACAATTTGCTACTAGATCAGTCTTTACTAAGACTGAAGTGTAAAAACTTTCATTTTTAGGACATCGATGCTTCTGGAACTTCAGGCTTCAACTTGATGGCTCATCAAAAAACGATAAATCTGTTACAGTCCCTATGTTAAGATGATCAGCTCACCATAGTTCATTCTATTATCAAGCTCTGTGAGACTTCAGAATTAGCCATGAAGCTATGTGTCTGCTGAAATTCATTAAAAGTTTTGCCAAATCCAGTTTGCTTGTAACTGGGATGACTAAATGTTACAGGTCTACTTTTGGATTCAATGTGGAAAAATATTTTCCTTCCTATAACATCACTGTAGAAAAGTTAAGCTGTCTTCATCCTGGCTATGATGGGTTACCATACCATAACTACCCATAACTCTGCATGTGAGATAGCGCTTATTGACATCAAACCTAATAGTCTTTGGCTCACCAAGCTCTCATATCAACCATCTATGGGACTCAGGCATTGAAGTGTCTCTAATGTGGGCCTTTCTATGAGATATGGCCTTCATAAACCTATCTTCTAAGCAGTTGGGTTTTTTTTTTGAGCTTGATAGTGCATTACGTTCTCAATACAGTAGACAAATGCATCACCATGACCCTGGAAATACAGGATATCATTGCCGTCATCCAGGCATGCAAATCTGAACTCTTTAAGAGCAAGAATTCCAAACATGCCTGACAATCTGGTCTCTCTTGAAATAAAGAGGGATGCTATTAGTTTAGACTTCGTTGAGAAATCCTTGAGATGTAAAATGTGACTGGGTGTTTTCAAGATACACAGCTGTTTCTGGATATTTTTATTGGGTTCTTGAAAGGCTGGAATTAAAACTTCAGTGACATGTTCTTGGGTTAATTTGTCATGTAATCCAGTTGGACTCACTCTGAGATGACTTACATTTTGCTCCCAATAATAACTCTCCACCTTTCTGGAGCTGGCAGCAGATACCTCAGTTATATTAATGTCCCGCAGTATCATCTCTTTAATCTCAAGGCAATGGCTGTATGATATACCAGGCCCTCTGTCCTTGTCTTCACAACATGACTTAAGTAGAGAAAATGTCAAGTTTGAGGCGGTCTGAACACTTTACCCAATGTAACTTGGCAACCAAAAACTGTTTTGTGTGTGTGTAGTTTTTTTGTTTGTTTGTTTTTTCACAAATATAATTCTGTGACCTTTTGGTTGTTCAAACATCAGGGTTTTTGTTTGTTAGTTTGTTTTTTTAATTTTTAATCTGCTTAATCAAAATGTCTTTGGTATTCTATTAATGGAATATAGCACTGTCTTAAGGGTTTATTGGTTTCTGTTTTTTATGATTGGCAATATTTGTGATGCTTACCTTTTTGTAATTTATTAGAAAACTTTTCCTACTTTCATACCCATATTCATCACCCTACTTAA